ATTTTATTTATTATTTTAATAAATTACTTTATAATTTTTTTTAATTGAATAAATAATAAATGAACTAAAAATATTTTAATATATATTTCAATTAAAAGCATATTTTAAATTTTTTTAATGAATATTTTTTAGGATGTTAAGTTAAATATTCTAATTTATATATTATAATATAATAATAATATTCATATCTCTAAGAGATAAAAAGAGTAATTTATTCTATAATTTAAAATATGAAGAAAAGATAATGTAACACTTGCATCTCTCAAAAAAAAGTAAAGTGTAATTTAATTTAATGATGTTACGATAAATAAATTTATTTATTTATTTTAATATAAGAGGAGACCATGGTGTATGTCCTTATCTTTGAAGCACGGGTAATGTAATTTACTCAAAAAAAAAATTATCTGATAACTTACGATAATCTTTATTAAGAGTCCCAAAAATATACTTAAAAAAGGAAAATAAGAATTTTATTTGTTACGGCTATTTTTAATTCTGGTAAAAAAAAAAAGTAATTGTGTCAATAACCATGTCTAGACATTTAAACGCAGTGATTTAAAAACCGGACCGAACCGGCTGGTCGGACCGGTTGGACTGGGAACTAGTGGTCCAGCCGGTCCGAATCTTAAGTTGGATCGGTTATGCAGTCGACCCGTTTTAAACCGGATTGAACCGGTCAATTTTCCGGTTCAACCGGTGAACCGGTGGGTCAAACCGGTTCAACCACTTTTTTTTTTTTTTTTTTTTTAAATTTTTTTAAGGGACCATAAATCACAAAAATAATAATGAAAATTGAATCTCTTAATGAAAAAGCAAGGAGTCTTATTAAATATAACAATGACTACTTGTTCTAATATATTTGTTTGCAATATATACAACTTAAATAACTTTTATAGTATATTATTAATTTTAAATTATATATTTAATAATGCAATATCTATGTAAATATTACATATATTATTTTGTGATATTAATTGCAAGCATATTATATATGTACATATTATTTATATTTTTAATTTGTATTAATATACCGTTTAACATGTAATTTTTTATGTATTTTTTTACAAAATAAAAATAAAAATAATTTTAAATAAGATAGAAAAATTGAAATTTAAAATAAGATATGAATTTATTAAAATTTATAAGTATAAAATATATTTAATATGAATATTTTTTTAATAAAAATAAATAAAAATCGAGTCATGTGGTTCAACTAATGACCTACCGGTTCAACCTTTGATCCACTGACCAAGTACCTTAACCGGTTCGATGACCGGTCCAGTTTTTAAAACTATGTTTAAAGGTGTGTCTGAGTCATGTAAAAGTAAAAAAAATTTACATAAAATAAAAGACACTGCAAAAATATCTCTAACACGTGCATAGCATGTCGACTATGTGTTAATGTCAGAGGAGTGTCAAACACCTCAATATCTCTATTGTTAGGTGTCTTGCTTCCTAGCTCTTTCCCTCTCCCTCTCTCTCTTTTCCTCACCATCCTTTCCGATTTCTCTCTCTTTCTTATATCTCATTATTTTTTGATCTTGACAATTTTAATAATATTATTAAAATTTGTCTTATTTTTTAAGGTTTCATGATATTTATGACACTTTTTATTTTTATTTTAAATGAGATGAAATAATATAATTTTAACCTTCTTAATTATAAGGTAATATTTTTCTTTGATTGATTTTTTTGTTAAAATGAATTTAATAATATTTTTAACTTTTTATTATCAATTTTTTAAAATAGTTTAATTTTTATTAAATGCAAACATTATTACATTATTTTTATATATATATAATTAATATTTTATTATCTTCAAAAAGTAATTAGATCATAAAAAAAGTTTAATGTAATATTTATTATAAGATTTAAGTAAAAAAAAATATATCTAATGAGGTTATTTTTATAAAGGATATTTTTGTAAAAAAGTATTTATATACTTAAGAGTATACTATTGTAATTAAAGGTAAAAACTTTTAATTCTCGAAAAATCTATATAAATATTCTCGAGGACATTTATGAGTAATCAAATAGATTTTAGATATTTCTAAGAATCATAATTCTTATATATAGAAAAAATTTTCCCCTCTACTAAACACACCTAAGATTATGTTTGATAGAGAAAAAAAAAAGATAAAAATAAAATCAAGTGAAATATTTGAGTTGACGAAAGTCAGAATGCAGTTAAAATTTGGTTGCTTGATTTATAAAAAATAAAATGGAGAGAAATAAAATAAATAAATAAATAAATAAATAAATAATGTTATAATAAATTTTTTATAACAAAAATTAATTTGTATAATTTATTTGAATTGTAATATTTTTTTATTCGTTAAAAGTTTATTTAATCAACTTTAATGTTTCCAATCCGCCCAGCAAACTAGCGAGGAGATTAGTCACTGCTATGGATGGCAAAACGGGCCAACCCGGCCCGTTTTGGCCCAGCCCGCCAAAAATGGGTCGGGCCGGCCAGCTCGCCAGTGTAAAACGGGCTCAGGATGCTGGCCCGCCCCGCATAAGGACGGGCTGGCGGGTTGGTGGGCCAGCCCGCATACAAAAATAAAAAATAAATAAAAATGAAAAAAAAGATATTTTATGTTTAAATAAAATTTTTTCGCTACAAATAAATAAATACAACCATATGAAATTAAAAATGCATACATATTGTAAATAATATATGTTCAACAAAAACAAATTACAAACTTAGAACAAAATCAAATAGAAATTAGTCTAATTACACCAAAATCAAAACTAAATTATAAACTTACAAATTACTTATAAACTAAATTTTTTGATAGTCCACAAAACAAGTTCAAATACAATTAATTAACTTTGAATTTTTATTTTAAGAATATTAGAAGCTCTCTTGGAAAAAGTTGTCTCTACTTTTTTTTTTATCATCTTCATCCTCATCTTCTACATCAGAATAAAATAAACATAAAAATAATTAAATTAACAAAAAAAATATATATATGCGGGCCGACGGATTATGGCGGGCCGGCCCACTATTTGACCCGGCGGGTTGGCGGGCTTGGCGGGCAGGTTGGCGGGTTGAAATGATAGGCCCGGCCCGCCATTTTTTTGCGGGCCGGTGGGCCAGCCCGCGGGTCACGACCCACTTTGCCATCCCTAGTCACTGCTATAGGCGGTGGATACTCCAAGAAAAAAAAAAACTAATTGTGTGTTTCTAAACCGCCAACAAAAATAAAAGAAATATGTGTTTCTTAACTAAATCAATTACCTGCGTGTGTGTTTCTAAACTGTTCAGACAAAACATTGTCTCGAAAACTAACAAGCTATATGTACTCCACTCGATTTGAAAAATAAAATGTAGTTGAGAGGAAGGAAATGTTCTCCGACAGCAACTACAGATGAAGTTATATGAATCAGAAAAATCTTGACAAATTTGAATCATATGTAAATGGAACTCATCTCAAACTTGTTAATGAGTATTGACTGTTAGTGATCAGATTAATCTATTTTCACCTTACAAGTAATCTATTTCAATGTCAGAAACTAACTAATACATTTTGTTAATAAATAATATAGTCATTATTAACAAGTATATCATGATATAGTAGAATTAGTCAATCACTAAATATGATATCATCAAAGTTATGGAATATTTATTAAATTAGAGTATATTTTTTACATGTGAGGCAAATAATAATTATGTCTGTTCGGATAAATTTCACCAAAAGTATTTTTAGGTGAGAAATAGGAAAAAAAGTTAAAATAAATTTCTACATAAATTAAAACTAACTTATGTTAAAAATAAGATTTTAGAATAACTAATAGGAAAAAAAAAGTTTTAAAAATTAATTTATCTATAAACTAATTTTAACTTATAGAGAAGTTTATTTCATTTTTCATTTCCATTTTTTCTCTCATTGAAGTGTTTCTCGATAAGTTTACCCAAATAGATGCTTAATAACTACATCAAAATGTTGTTTGGGGAAGAGTCAAGGACAAAATGTAAGTTTTATGATTTTCTAATACATCAATTATAAAAAATTAAAAGGATCTTTAAAATTCATGATACTCATATAATAATAAGAAATAGTATATACCTTTCTCTATAACGAAAATCTCCTTTGATCCTTAGAGTACTTTTGATCTTCTTGAGAAAAGAACCAAAACTTCACTCCCTTTGACTTTTTTTTATTGTTTCTATCTTTCGGCTAGGATTTGAGAGAATACGTTCTGTCAGGATGTGAATCTTGTTTCACATTAGTGAATATTTATAACCCCTAAAGATTGTTATTCTCATCAAATAACAATTATTCTCAAAATTGCTCCATTAAGCTCATTTATGATTTAATCCCTAATTATTTAATTAATTATTTATTAGGCCCTTTATACATCACATTTTTCTCACATAAGACATAATTATCTTACACAAAATATTTACTTGCAAACTGAAAATTGAATGGATTTCTCTTCAATATTTTGGACTAGAGATGTATACAATTAAAACTTGAAAAAACTAAAGAGTTTATAGCTTTGTGATTTCTAGTGAACAGAATTTACAAGCTCAAACAATTTGATGCTCAATGGAAACAACTTTAGACCTTTCTTGTAACCATTTTGGTTAAGTTTTGGGGGCCAAGAAGTGCTCTTCCATAAGCAGCAGGTAGTGAGAAGAGCTTCTTAACTTTTCCTACATATGCTCTTTTAGTGAAGTTATTGTAGTCATTAGCTTCAATAGAATCTAGGATCTGCCTATACAACAACAAAGATGCCCACACTGGCCATCTGCTTGCAGAGTTTAGCTCTGAAACTCCCTTCTCTGCCTCATCAAAAAACATCCTTGCTCTTTGTATTTGGCCCTTCATGAAATTGCGCCACTTGTCGGTTACTTTCCCTCTGAAAATGTCCTCATCTGATAGCCCAGCTTGTGCCAATTCATCTTGTGGAAGATATACTCTTCCTCTTCTAGAACTGTAATGATAAAAAAAACACAAGAAATAGTTAGATAACAGGATTTTTTTGAATGCTTATGGGACAAAATGAAAAAAGAAAAAATAAACAACTCTTCCTTTTCTTAAGATGGGTCTTTTTTTATAAACCTTTTCAGAAGTACTTCTAGGAGTAGAAAGTTAAGAAGGAAAATTGAAATAAGCTTGCATAACATAAAAACAAGATTTTGAAAAAACTAATAGAAAATAGCTTCTACAAACTTGTTTATATATAAATTAATTTTATCTTACGGAGAAAGTTATTCTATTTTTACTTTCTGATTTTTTCTATTAGAAGTACTTTTAAAGAAGATTACCCAATCAGACTTGAAAATTAAAACAAACCATTTTTATTAAATGTTTGAAATTTTTTCAGTAAAGATCATAGTTTTACATGGTTACTATATCAGTCTCATTGGGAAAGGAGAAGCATATAACTTTTTTGGTTTAATTTGAAGATTGTTCTTCCTCAAATTATATTGATAATTGAAATTTGAAATAAAATGCTGTCATAAGTTAAGTTGAGTTGTAGAAGGTAACTTCTTTTGTTGATTGTCAATGTAGTTTCTCGGAATTGAGGTTTTTAAGTATGAAGGTCAGTAATACTTAAACTACAAGGTGTAATTCTAACTACTCTATTTAGATTCAAATACAGTATATTGTTGTATTTGAAGATCCTTACTCTTCTCCAACGTCTCTCAGAATGTTGGTAAGTTGATTAGCAATGCCAAGTGCTAATGCAGCATTGTAGACGCTCTCTGTTGAAGCCTTTGATTCTGGTGCTATTCCCATTACTGGAACACTCATAAGGCCAACTGTCCCAGCAACATAGTAGCAGTAAAGGTAGAGTTCATCAAAGTTGTTGTATCTTGACTTTCTTAGATCCAGCCTCATCCCTTCAATCATGTCCTTAAATGGCTATTCAAACAGACAATTCATCGAAATTTGGATTAGTTTTAGCAGATCAAAATAACTAGTACACCTATTGCTGCTACATGCTTGTAATAATTATACATAATTGAGCACTAGATACTCTAAATTATACTATTACTTACAAGTCGTAACAGTTCAGTCATCAGCTAGCAACTGAATTCTACAAATACTTTTAAGGGGTTTGTATTTTAAGACAATTGGCATGTTTGGTAACGCTTATTTCAGGAAAAATAATTGTTTTTTTAAGCTTTCTTAAAAGGTTATGAAGAGGGAAAGAAAAAAGAATCAATTTTCTCAAAATAAGCTGAACCATGCAAGTATATTATTTTCATGTTTAGTGGCTATAAGCACCACCATTTTCCTTGTTCTTGAGTTTGGGGTGGGCTAACTAAACCTAAAAAGATTGCCTAGCACAGCCCCTTCACCTCAGAATTATACATCTTTAGGAAAGCTGCAAGGCTGGGAAGATTTTCGAACAACTAAGGGTGACTCAATCTTACATCTATGGCAAGCTTTGACACCATCTTGAATTTAAGCTGAACTTAGCTCAACTCCAAAAGTTAGAGTATAAAGATCTGGATAAACTTCTCCAAAAACAATTCTAAAAGAAAACAGGTAAAAAAAAATGAATAAATTTCTGCATAAGTTAAAACTATCTCAAGTATAAATTAAAAATAAGTTTTTGGAGAAGTTAATGTGAGATAACTTTTACAAATTAGTTTATCAATGAGCTAATTTTAGCTTATGGAGAAGCTTAATTCATTTTTTTCCTTTTAATTTTTTTCTAAAAGTACTTCTAGAGAAGTTTGTCTAAACAAACCTTAAATGAGAACTGTATAAATTTCTATAAGCTCTATTTTGGCCATATCTATGGTTGACACAGAATCTGAACACTCGTTGACTAGTTTGAAGTCTGATCTAAGTAAGATTTATTATCCCAACAAACTAGGAAAGCTGTAAAGGTAAAAGTTTCAATTTCAGAGTCCAGTTTTTGGGCTTTTGTCTACCTGTATATCAACTGGGTACTTTGAAACTGTATCTGAGAGGGCAGCATCATACATATCATAAGGGCGTCCTTCAAAAACATCATATAATCTTTGCTGCCACCTGTCCAAAGCCTTTGGTGTGATGTGAGACGCATTGGGACCATCCACTAGCTCATCTGTTCTTCTGCACCACACTGCAATACACAAAGTGAATTCAATTTAAAAACAATAAAAAAAAATGTACAACCCTTATCGGATAGCATGCCAATTAGGATAATCACCCATACCGTATATGGCCCATATGGCTTTTCTTCTCTCTTGGGTCATCAATTGTGTGCCTGAGATTTTCCATTCACAATGAACCAATCAAATTGACAAAAACCATTTCAATTAAACAGAGCACCAACATTTGAAGGCATGGAATGGACATTTGACCCTCACTGACTTGGGAATAAAAAAACCATTTCAATCATAGTAAACATTTTGCAACAAAGTGAAGGCAAGTGAATATTGAAATTCCTCTATAATCAACCAAAACCATGAAGGGGTTACTTCTTTTTTGATCCATGAGAATTTTAATGGCAATATTAAGATTCTGTGTATATTGTCCCAATACCCACCATTAAGCCAACTCTAGTAGACCATGAAAGGGTTACTTCGAACAATTAGTAAAATACAAGATAGAGTACCTAGATAAAATGTAATGTAACTGATATAATAATGAACTTTAAAAATGAGCAAAAACTCGTGGGAACAAGAGACAATTATCAAGAAAAGCCAGAAAAGGCCAAAATAACAGAGTACCTAGATAGAATGTCTTGGCATATTCAGCACAGACTTCACCACACCTATCATAAGCAGCACTCAACAGATCTCCATTGGTCAAATCTCCTTCTATTGGCTTGTCCAAATTAAGAGCTCTCTTTGTACCCTTATTCTGCTCCTTAACCAGTGCTGCTTGCTTCAACACCACCTCATAGACCCTCTCCTCAGAGGATCTTGAAGGGTCTGCAACTGCAGGTGAAAAACTTGCAAAGTTTATCCCATTGCACAGTCCAAACCTCCTCTGGCTTCTCCCACCTCTCCCTGCAACACCAACAATGGAGATGGGGTTCTCCTTGGGTCCACAACTCACCCAAAGAAGAACACCAGACATCTCAGGAAGAACAGTTGCAATTTGCTCTTGCTTCTTGTACACCAACTTTGAATAGCTAGCTCAAAAAGTGAGAAAAAGAGAGGGAGAAAATAAGAGAAGAAAAAAAAAATTGAGAAAATAAGTGAGTATGAGGATCTAATTGTGTTGATAAAAATGGTTGGCTCTATATCACTAAGGATATAGAGAGAATTGTGATTGGAATGCTAAGTTGTAACCTTAGCTGACACATGTAAATGTATGGACGGTGGTGTAGTAATCTTGAACTTCAACAAGTTGTTTGTCTTTAATGTGGTACTATTCCATCTCACTCTCTCTACACTTTTTTAACGGTTGTGAATTTGTGGTCCTATGTTTTTGGTTTTGTTTGTGTAGTCGCATGTGGGTTAAATGTGGCTGAGAATGACTTGTTTAGCATCAACATTCAGCTGTGGTCAATGTAAAGTTCTGAATTTTGATTTGTGTAATTGCCATCACCACACATCTAGTGAGTTGTCAGAAAACACAATGTACTAAATTAGTTTAAATTTGTTTTCAATTTTTTAAATTTAAAAATAAATTTAATTTTAGTTTCTCAAATTTAAATTTGATTCTTTTAATCTCAATAATTTAAAAAAAGTTTGTTTTATTTTATCCCTTCAAGATTATAATAATATTTCTGACAATGATAAATTGAATTAAAAAGTTGTGTAATAATGCAGTAAATCAAAATCTACACCATATTATAATGTCAAGTTCTAATTTCTACATATCAAAATATTAATTGTTAGTATATCAAAATATTTATTCTAATTGATTCTATTTGTATATTATGTATTTGATTTAATTTTTTATTTCTGATTGTATTTTTTTAACTTAGATGAGCTTCTCATATTTATATTTATGATGTTCATTATCTCAAAATATATTATAAATATATTTGAAAATTCTTTTATGAATGAAATTTGAAAATTTTTTTCTCATAAATTTTATGAGTGAAATTTAAATCTTTCCTTCACAAATTTTTTAGCGAAACTTGAAAACTTTCTTTCATAATAATTCTCTTTATAAATGATTTGATTTTGTTGTTCTGTCTTTATTAGAAAATGAAAGAAAATATATACAAACCTTCCAACCACTTTTATGATGACTTCTCCTAAATTAATTAATAAGCTAATTCCAAGTATAGGGATAAAAAATTAAAATACAATAAAAAGAAAATTAAATCAAATACAAAATATACAAATAGAATCAAATCATAATCAATATTATGATACACAACAATCAATATTCTGATATGCAGACATCAAAATCTAATATTATGATATATAAAAAATTCTTATTTACTATACATTATATAGTATTAATTGAATTTAATGTAATATTTTATCAATTAAATAACATTAAAATATAGATTTTATGCAAGAAAATCAATAATATGTGAGTGTATTTTTAAAGTTTACTGATAACATTTGAATAGAGTGTCTAAAATAATTTTTTTAAGTTTCAGAAACTAAAAAAAATTAATTTTAAATTTAAAGGAAAAAAATTACACATATTTTAACATATTTAATATTTTCATTAATAGTTCCATGAACTATTCCGGCGTGCGGTGAGTGTATTTCTAACTCAATTTTTGCATTAATGAATAATTAAGATGTATTCAGACTTTAGACAAATAATTTAAGTGGTTATTTGACATAAATAAATCACATGAGAATCTATAATGAAGGTTTATCTCAACATGCTTAATTAAGTTGATATACTTGATGGTGAAACTTATTAAAATAAGTAAAAAAGAGGTCACAAAAAGTCAAACTATTTTCATGCCTAATTTTCATCATTAAAGCTGATATGATAATACAAACCCAAGTTAAAAGCAAACAAATCGTGCCTCCTTAACTACTAGCGTAACCTTATTTGGTTATTATTCTCATAATCTTTTAGGAAACAAGAGTGGATTATTATAATATAATATATAGAAACTTAAGTCCAATGAAGATGATTTTTTTATTACTTAGAAGGAAAAGAGATTGATGTTTATTGAGTCTAAGCATCGATGAGAGATCATCTTAGTTAGATCTATGCAGATTGTTATGAGAAAAAAGAGACAGCATCGAGCATGTGCATGTGATTAAGATTTTATTAATTTGTCCTCTGCAATTGAAAATTTGCAATAACTGAAACTAACTTTATGAAATCAGATTCATGTCCCACCCACACCTTAGTATAGAGTCATGACTCGGATTTGGGCTAGTGAGAAAAATAAAATATGATAAAAATTAACATATAAGGGACAAAGTCTAAGACAATGACACTCATATAAGAAAACTGACATTATTTGATTATTAGTATTAAAAAAACAATTGAACTTATGTAAGGACATGTGCCTCGTACTAAGACACGTAGGTTCATCCCTTTATAGGCCAACTTTGTTTCATTTGAGACTCATTTAAACATAAAATAGATCACTAATATGGATATATTTTTATAAACACCATGCATAAAATGAGGTGAAAAATAATTATTTAACATGACATTTGTACACATTATTAGAAGTTGAGTATATTGGGATAGATGTAAACCAATCGGATTAGGATATAAATATACATGTACCCGGGGGTAATATTTGAACCCGTCTCGACTTTGATGAGAAATATCCGGTTTGATCAGGTACGGGTACGGGTACGGGTAAAACCCGATATACTAAATCGAGTATGGGTACGGGTACAAGTATGTACTTACCCGCCCCGTACTCGTACGCGTACCCGTCCTCGTTTCCATTTTTAATTTAATACACACTTTTAATTTAACTATATTAAAGAATTTTAATATTTTTTTATGTGATTATTTATTATAATATGAGATAGAAAAATAATCTAATTATAATTATAATATGATAAAAAAATAATTTAAAAAAATTATATTTTTTTTACAAAAAATATAAAATAAAAAAATTGACGGGTACGGGTACCCGATACCCGACGAGAATGGGAATGGGGATGAAAATCACATACCCAACAGGTACGGGTACTGGAACGGGGATGTGTTTGACTCGCGACAGGGACGGGTATCATGAAACCCGTACTCGACCCGCCCCATTGCCATCCTTAAATTGGATTGGTCGAGTTTAGAAGATATTAAAATTTTAAATTGATCAATATTTTAACTGATTTGAATTATATCGGTTTTTCTAAAAATAAAAAATAACAATAGCGGCTTGAACCAAAATAACCAAACATTTTCGAGAGTATATTGGGTGATTGCCGGTTGATAAAATAATGTTAAAAAAAATAATGAAAAAAAAGCATAATAAATGAAGGTTAAAATAGAATTTTGGACTTATATTTTTATTTTAGGTTTTAGTTAACTCCCTTCAATTTAAAAAAAAAATATTTTGATCTCTTAAAATATTTTTATTAGATAAATTGGTCACTTTTGTCAACAATTTGTGTTAACAATATTATTTTTGGTTGATATAGCATCCTCATGGCTTCACACATGTTATTAAAAATTGATCAAATTAGTGAGATAATTTGATGAAAGGACCAACTCAATCTAACATAGATACTTAAGGGATCAAAGTGAAACTTTTTTTTAAAGGACTAAATTGAAACCTAAAAGAAAATTAAGGAACCGAAATTCTATTTTAGCTTAAAATAAAAGAAATTTTAGACTATAATAGGGGAAAAAAATACTTTTTTCGCTAAATTGCACTTTTAGTCTCTTTATAACTTTTAATCCACAATTTTAGCTATTCAATACTTAAAACTAGGCATTTTTAGTCTCCTCCATCAATATATAAAACAATAATTAATGATGATATGCATTAATGTTGATATGGATTAATAATATATTATTTTGGTAATGCAATAACTCATATAGATGGATGAGGTTGTACACTTGCACTATAGTGATGATACAAACCAATAATGTAGCATTGACATGTCAAGGAAATATAAAATGATAAAAAGAGAGAGTAATCCTATAAAGACTAGAATTGATGATCTATTGATCTTCATTATAAACTTTACCATTTAAACTAAACTCAACTCTTTTTAGTTATAATTAACTTGAACAATATATATATATATATATATATAGAGAGAGAGAGAAACAATTCATGTGAGTGCTTATATAAGAACATAAAAATAACTAATAATAACCATTAAATTAAAATAAACAACTTAGATTAAAATATTACAAATAAAGTTACCATGTACCATCACAATCTCAATTCTCTCCATCATTATCATCGTTATCACTGTTATTGCAACCAATGTCACCTCTACCTCCATCGCATCGTCGCCATATCACCACCACCTTTATCGTCGTTGTCATTATCATCGTTATCATCGCTACCACCATCTTTACTGTCATCACCACTACCACTCAGGGTTAGCCCAACTCCTAAGCTTAATAAGCTAATTAATTTCTTGTTTCGGACCCTCTTTAAAAAAATATTTTATATTGATAATTATATAATTTTTTCAAGGTTAATATAACTTGAAAAGTTACTTTTTTATTTTTAAAATCTCATTCTAAAAGTCTCAATTCTAAAGATATATACAAATATAATTAATTTTTTTTAAAGTTCATCTCTAAAATATTTTTAATTTTGTTATCATAAGACATTATTATTAATTTTAAAAAAGATTCACTTTAAGATTTGCTTTAGGTTTAATAATATGTTGAGCCGACTTTGTCAATCCTGTTGCCACAACTATTGATAACAATGATGACAACGACAATAATGGAAAGGTTGAAACAAATATGGAGATAATGATGATGTGATAATGATGGGAGTGTGGTGTTGGAGGTAATAGTTGTAATATTGGTGGTGACAATATTAATGATAAAGATAACTACAATATAATAATGACGATAAATTATTACTTTATTTGCATTCTTTTAATCTAAGTCATTTATTTTAATTTAATTAACATTATTATTAATTATTTTGATATATATATATATATAAGGGGGCGACTCAAAGGGGATACTTTTTATAACACAAAAATAACAAATAAAAAACTCTTATATATTAAAAGATTACAATGTAGCATGTATCATTGTAATGGTAGTTATATATATCATTATTGTCATCACCAATATTGTAACCATCATCATTTCACCATCATTGTATTGTCATATCATTATTACTTCTACTACTATCACCACCACCACTAGTGCAAAAAAGGGTATTTACGTCACCCAATTTACGTCGCAAACACTAAACACCGAC